GAAGATAACCCTGAGACAGCAGTTCCAGCAGTGACTTTTCGGTTGGCCAAGGTGGGTGGCTTGTCTACATGTATAGGTGTAGGTATAGGTATAGGTTCAGATTGGTCTCTGGTAGCAATGCTAGGGCTTGGGTCTGGCCTTACTGGAGGACCATCTGCAGCACCTGTACCTGCAAGAGCCAGAGCAGCATTGGGCTCTTTGACTGCTCCTGGCAAGCAAAAGTTGTCCAAGTTGGCCTGGGTTCTCGCTCTCGTTGCATTAACCCCAACTCCCAGAGTAAACCTGTCGTGGGTGTTAGGGTTAAGGTTAACGTTGACTTGAGTTGGGTTGCCTTGATTTGAGTTTGTCTCTTGTTGTCGCTGCTGTTGCTGCTGTGGCACACCGACGCTATTATTATTACTAGTACTACTATTAATAGTACTATTACTGGTGCTGGAGCTGTTGGCACTGTGAATGGTGCTGGTAGAGAGATGCCGTAGAGGTCTACGCGGAGCATCGTCGCTCGCAGCAGCCGAAGCACCAACAGTACAAGTGGCAGAAGCAGAAGCAGAAGCACTATTAATAGTAGAAGGAGTACTACCGGTAGAAGTGCTCATAGTAGTAAAGTCGCGGCTGTTCGCCATGGTCTATCTTCCTCTTCCTCTCTCTTCTATTACTACTACTAGAGTAGTAGTGTGAGGTAGGCAGGACTTGATGATGATGGTGACGATGATGACTTTTGTTTGTCAAGACTGACTTGCTTGCCTCAACTTGACTTGTGGCGCTTGGGGAGATGGTCGCTCGGTGGTGCAATCGTGCGGTGTGTGCTTATTCAACCAGTCCAAACCAAAGTGAACACTTCAGCTAAAGCTTTAACAAAATGAGAACCCAACAAAACACAAATGTCCTACCTCCTAATTGTTGAACCATCTTACACACTTAAGACACAGTTGCCGAACTGCCAAACAATGAAAGCAAGTCTCAGCACGCCGGTCTTCTTAACAACGGAACTGCAGGAACCTTCCGCGTGAGTGAATATTCTTCTCACATTTTCAGAAACGTCACAACCACCAAAGCATAGCACCACTCGAAGTTGGTTGCTGAGCTACGACGGTAGCGTACCACACCGCCCCGGTAGATCTACCTTGCTTGGTGAGACCGATTGCTTTGATGAGCCAAGCCAACCCACACCACAACATGATGATGTGCACTGGGAGGGTAAAAACCAGAATCAGTCGTGTTCCAAGCATCCTTGGTCCCGTTCCAAGCATCGTTGGTCTTGTTCCAAGCATCCTTGGTCCCGTTCCAATGCAGTCGTGGACCGAAAATGACCCGTGACTGCTATTGAATGACTATCCAGTTACCAGCTTACTATGCCATACAGTAGAAGAATCAACCACAACAACGACCAAGTAGTGGTAACCAATCAAGACTAAACAGCACATGGCCAACAGAGCTGCGACTTGACTATTTTGTTGAATCTTACCCAAGAAAGAAAGAGTATGAGGATGAGGTCGTTGGTGCTTCGTGCTTTGCATTCTCAGCTTGCTTCCGTACCACGCTGCTTGGTGCATTTACAAAAATTGTACGCAACTTGCTTCAGGGGGACGTACATGCACATCAAACTTGCCATGTTGCCAACATTCCGTAGCTCCCCGTATAGATAGAGGAGTCATGCCGGTACCTACCGTATCGGCACAGTCACAGTGTGCGGTATTTTGCGTTTACCTGCCTGGCTGGCTAGCTAGAGCTAGGCAGGACGTTTTGAAGCAGCCTTCCAGATCTTTGACGGAGCGTAGCACAAGCAAAGCGGTCCGCAGTCTGCAATCGTTGCGTACATGTACAGTTGTATCAGAGACTCGTTAATGCTTTGGATCATTTGGGTTAAATCTCCTGGAATCATCAAAACATAGTAGGTGCCAATGATGCGGACGGCGGACAAGCAAGTTCACACGAAAACCTCAGTTTGAGAAACTGCTATTCATTCTCACGCATTTAAATTTGTACATGCCGCACTAAGCTGCATGCTACATTATTGAAGTACTAGTACTCTCCTCTTGTTTCTCTGTATCTTAGGGAAGACGAGAATGAAGCACAAATTCTGCTCGTACCGATACACCTATGCATACCGGTATGCATACGGGTATATCTTTCTCCTGGCATGCCTGGCGGTGCTACCGGTAGCAGACACTTCGGATGCCACGGTCGGGGAGGATTTCTTGAAGCAAGCCAAGATATCCAAGGAATGTGCTGCGATACTCGCTGTGGCGGGTGGTGCTGTTGAGGGCAGCCTGGGCCTCGCAGCCCGATTACTCGTCCTCAAGATTATTGCTTACGTTGGTTTCACCGCCATTGGGGGGTCCTTTTCGGAATGGTGGCAATCCACCATGCCATTGAGGAGTAAAGAGGACAGCACTAGTAGTTTGTTTTCGTGGCTACAAGCCATTGCCATGACCGTATCAGGACCTGACATTGCCATTGCTATTGGGAATATTCTGGGGGGCGTTTTGGCCGTCATTTTTTTCATGGAGTATTTTTGCGCCAAAGTGGATCAAGCGGTCCAATCCAACATGGAGTTTCGCAAGCTCGTGGCTGCCGTAGTGGTATTGGTCATCAAGGAATCTTTTGAGTTTTGGCCTGTAGCTGTTGAAGAGAGTGAAGCGATAATTCGAAACGCTGTCGGGGTTGACGAAGAACCAAGATGGGAAACTGAACATGCGTCCCGTGTATGGGTGTCTGCCATGGAAGTATTGATGGCGGCATCTAGTCTGCAGCCTTCTACCGCTGCGGTTCTGTTGCAGATCCAGTTTTGATTATGGATCCACTCTCCATTAAAAATGGAAGCATCGTTACCACAGTGACAACTGAAAGCAATCAACTCCTCCCCGAACAATGCACGGTAAAAAGGGCAGTCCGATAACGCATGTACTCGTACTGTACTCCTTGGGATCTCCGTATCCTACGATACGAGTGCATTCTCCATCACCCATCAGATCGTCACTGTCATCAGTGAAAGATCTAAAGCTACCTGTACCGGTACGGTAGGCTATATAGCCAACCTCTCTAGAAAAGCACAAAACAGCAAAGCCTCCATTAGTCTAGCTAACTGCAGCCGCTCGCTTGTGTTAGTTAGGCGGGGTGAGACAGTCCCACGGTTTATCCAGGTCACGTAGCTCCCACTTCTCGCGTCAGCCAACCTTTGGCGAAGATTTAACCTCCCTATACCGTCAGACTGTGCATCCCATAATTCTCTATCGTCGATGACCGAGTGACGTCAGAGGTGAAGACCAATTTGGCGTCGGTCGTCATGCTTTCTCGTTCCTATTTTCTTCCTCTCCTCTGCCTCTTAATTTGCGATTGCTCAAGCTGCTGCTATCGATATCCCTTGCGTCTTCAACTGGAGTAACTTGATCGAACTATCGTTGGTAGCTGCTGCTAGTGGCAATCAATTTCGTTTGGAAGGTTTTGTGCGAACATTCTAGCTAGCTAGCTACTACCCACCATCTTTCTCCTAGAGCTCCTCGGGATTCGATTTTTACCCGATTATCCATTCGATCATCATTCAGCGGTACCGTTACGAATGAAACAGCCCTGAGCAACAATTGAATTGAATCAACCGTTGGTGCTGTTGTGTTACTGCTGTTGCTGCGACGAGCTAAGAGAAGAAAAGACGATAAAGGCATCATCAGTACGGTAGAAACCAAGGAAGAGGTGCGAGTGAGGAAACGGCGAAAACGAAAATGGAAGCCACCGGCAGTCCCGCAACCTCGGGACTAACGGCCAATTCTGATCCCGCAACACATCGAACCAATGCCGACCAGGTCGAGGTCGAGCAGGTCGTGCAGCATGGAACAAACGACACACAAAATCCTGCTGCTAGTACAAGCACAAGTACAAGTACAAGTACAAGCACAAGTACGAACAGCCACAGCCACACTCACAAGAGCCCAGAAGTGGCATCTGATCCCAGCCACGCAACAGCTGATCCTAACGGGATGTCCAACAACCACGAAAACAATGAATCGAGCGCTGGCAAAAGCAACGGACACGACAATTTCCTACAGTCGCTAGATCCTACGGCTCCCACAGTACCTAGCGTCTCTTCGGAAACCGCCGTTGCCTACCCTCAAAATACGGGCGAACCGGCCAACGATAATGGTCGCGATAGCCACGCCAGTACCAACGACTTTGACGAAGATTTGGACGGAGCTCTGTCGGATATTCTGGATCAACCCGACGAAAAATCGGAAGTATTTGAGAGGTTGTATCGCAACGAAAAGAGGTCCGATAAAGTATGGAAAGCACCCCCCAAATACGAATTTCCAAAAAGCCCCGTTAGGGAAGCAGACCAAGCAATCCCCGAAATATTCGCAAAGCTACATCACAATGAAAAGCGCGATGAAGCTGTCTGGCAGGAACCGAGACGGTTTGATCGATCCAAGAGTCCTGCTAGGCTACCTACCACCGCACAAACGGAACCTATTCCAGCTATCTTTGAACAGCTTCACAAAAACAAAAAGCGAAACCAAACCCTATGGCAAGAACCTGCCAAATTTGAGGGATCCAAAAGCCCAAGAATAAACAGAGCCACTGTCAACGCAGAACCCATACCAGCCATTTTTGAAAAATTACACAACAATGAAAAACGATCCGAACCAGTGTGGCATCAACCGGACAGATTCGATCCTTCCAGAAGTCCAGCCAGGCTACCACCTTCCATTCTCAATGCGGAGCAGGTTCCAGAAATCTTTGATCAGTTGCACCACAATGAGAGGCGCCATGAACCAGTTTGGCAAGAGCCTGCAAGATATGATCCACACAGAGACACGGGCATACAGCATTCCACAGAGCCAGTCCCAGCCATTTTTGATCACCTCTACCATAACGAAAAGCGCTCTGAGCAGGTATGGCACGAACCTGCCCAGTTTCATCCAAACAAGGTTTCTCCCACTTCCAATGGCAGCAATTTGCATCAGGTTGAGAGGCAACATTCATCGACTACCGAAACTGATGCTCAAACTGGGAATCAAAACACCATGCTTTATCCACACAATGCACCACACAGGGACTTCCAATATGGGAATGCCAAAGAACAAGCAATGCTACCTCCCACACAACTCTCCAGGCAAGAAACACCTGCTGCCAAAGACCTGGATCCACTGACAAAGAAAGCATCAGCTGCTCCCACAGACAGTGCTGTCATTGAAGAGGGAGAAGATGAGGAGGAGGAGGCTTCCAAATCAGGGGATGCACCGGGGGAGCCAAAGGACTCTCTGCTGGATGATGATGACAACGAAGCAGAGGCACAACTTCGATCAATGGCAATGCGATACACCGGGGGAGCCAAAGGACTCTCTGATGGATGATGATGACAACGAAGCAGAGGCACAACTTCGATCAATGGCAATGCCCACACAACTCTCTAGGCAAGAAACACCTGCTGCCAAAGACCTGGATCCACTGACAAAGAAAGCATCAGCTGCTCCCACAGACAGTGCTGTCATTGAAGAGGGAGAAGAGGAGGAGGAGGATTCCGAATCAGGGGATGCACCAGGGGAGCCAAAGGACTCTCTGCTGGATGATGACAATGAAGCTGAGGCACAACTCAGATTGAGGGAATCACTGGCAATGGCTGATGAAGAAAGACGCAGACTGGAAGCAGAGGCAAAAGCTGAACAAGAGAGGCTGGAAGAAGAAAGCGTAAAGGCTGAAGAAGAAAGGCTCAGATTGGAATTACTGGCACTGGCCAAGATGGAGGAAGAACGACTGCAACGTGAAGCCAATTCAAAATTGGAACAAGAAAGGCTGGAAGAAGAACACCGAAATGAAGCTGAACGCTTGAGACTGGAAGCTGTGGCAAAAGCTGAACAAGAACAACTCAGGCGTGAAGAGGAAGCAAAGGCGGATGAAAATCGACTCAGGCTCGAAGTTGAAGCAAAGGCTGAACATGATAGGGTGGCAAACGAAAAAAGACGGCTGGCAGAGGAAGAAAGGCTGAAATTTGTTGAGGAGGAACGCCAAAAGGAGGCGGAAAGGAAAAGATTGCAAGAGGAAGCCAAATCTGAACTTCGAGAAGCTGCTGCCTTGGCTTCGATTGCAGTTGCGAAGTCAACAGCACAGGCCAGTGTTCCGGCACCAGGCAAAAATCCCAAGGAGGTCCAAGAACCCGATGCTTCGGTGGTTGGTAGGGTGGTTGACAATGGATTGGATGACAGTGCGAAAGTACGTTTTGCTACCGATGTCGATGGGCCACAAGCACAAGACGTTGCTGCTCAAGTATCGCAGCCACTCACGGGTGTCCACGACGACGAACAGCTTTCAGAGGGCCAATTCAGGCCGCGACAAACCAAGTCGACCACCGACCAGAAGGCAGTTGCTGGTTTATTGGCAATGGAGGCGACTGCCTCGTCACTAAAGCCAACTGAACGAACCCAACCTGACGCAAAGCCTTCGAGACTCAATAGTAGTCAGTCCGACTTGAAGTCCTCTTCTGTACCAATGAAAGGAACATTTGGAGCCCACGCTCTTCGACCCACAACCACCTTGACCACAAGATCGTCTTACCGAAGCGCTGCGGAAGAATCGGGTGATCCTCCCAAAAATGAATTCCAACAAATAAAACTGAAAAGGAAATCAACGAAAACAACGGAAATATATATCAAGGAGACCCAGTTGGAATTTGCAGAGTTGGTTGCGGGCGCCTTGAACAGAAGAAGATCGAACAACGATAGCAGCCTTGAAGCGCTTCGCCACATGGACGATTTGAAGCAGGAAGTGGCCGTGTTGCAAGAAGAAGAGGATTCAACTCTTTGGGCAATCAACAGGCTACGGCGAGAGCTCCTCGACATGTTCAACCAGGGGAGCCCCATGCAGGAAGAATACTTGCTCAAGTGGATCATGCCTCTGCACCGAGAACGAGATCCAAAGACTGGTCGTTTGATCATGAACGCAGATCAAGTGGCGCTCTTGCAGTCTTTTACGACTTCGGAAGAACTCAGCATGGTTGCGGGGCTTGGTATGGTTCGAAGTGTGCTTCAATCAAATTTCAAAGCCATGAACGGTAGCCAGTGTCTCCAGGATATCCATGACTATGCTACATTTCGGCTGGGGAAGAAATCCAAGCGAGCCCCGCAGAATCCATGGGACTTGCTGGCTGATTTGTTCGAGACCGCTCAAAAGGATGATTCCACAGAAGATATTCATCAACGAGTTTGCAATGCCTTGGTGCAGTGGGTAGTACGAGAAATCTTGGGCTCTACTACTGATGAAGTAACTAGCCGGAGCTGCTTCCACGCCATCTTTTTGATTGCGTCTCTCAAACTAGAGCTGCAGCGCCTTGCTCCCAAAGCGCTTGAACCGCCAAAGTCTGCTGGCAACGAGATCGATGCCGACGACGACCGATCCATCATTGAAATTGAACCCCCAACGCCAACACCAAAACGAGCAGCAACACCAAAGCGACTCGTATCGCCCCGTAACCCATACGTGGAAAAGCTCTTGCAATCGGATGCCTTCAACGAAAACAGTGGCCCTAGTGCAGCATTTCGGTCGAATGAAGTCATTTCAGAAGGTTCCACGGATCACGCGAGCCAATCTGCAGCAGTCGATTCGAGTGTCGATGAGAAGGAAAAGGCGATGAAAGAGGCCATGCTGGTTCGTGATGCCAGTGTGAAAGAGATGAAGTTGAAAGAAAAAGAAAAGGAAGAACGCATCCCGGAGAGCGAACTCCCCAAGCCTGTTCAAGATTCGCATCGAGTGATTCGTACGATTTTGGGCCCGAACCACCCGCACATCAACGTGGGCGACTGTTTCGAAGCGATTCGCATGTATGCCGCATTGATTTTGAAATGGAAGGAGATTCAAGATCGTCGAGAACAACTGTTGGCGGCCGGTGCCGCGGGTGCCGCTGCAGGTTCAGCTGAACACGGCGACATGTTGATGATAGAATCCAAACCAACGTTTGAAGAAGAAAAGCTCAAGGCGCTGGAGGAGAGGATAATCTCCCCGACAATGCAACCTCCTGTTCCACAAATTGAGATTGGCAATGTCTCTCCAGCTGTCGTTGTGGAGGAAGGTGACATGAAGCAAGCAGCTGCTGCCAGAATGGAGAAGAAAAGGCGCAAAAAGAAGAAGAAGAAGAGAAAGGAGAGCGATCTGGTTCTTTCGCCTCTGACGCCCGACGCAGACGACAAACTGAAAGATGGCGCGGCGGAGGGAGACGTGGGGGCATCGGCTGCCGCCAAGAAGCTCGATTTGGATTCACTGATGGTGGATACGGCACAGGACGTCATGGCAGAAGTAGCAGCCAACACTCCAACTACTAGTACTCCCAAGAGAGACGCGGCCGTAGCAAAAGCACCCGCCCCCCCTCGAACCACAGCTGTGGAAGAACCACCACCGGGCAGTCCACCTGGCAGTCCCCCGATGACACCGTCACGTGCGGAATTGCAGAACCGAGTCCAAACACAAACGCAAAAAGCGATCGAGGCCAGTGAGATGCAACCGAAGATGCGCAGTACGTTTATGGATCGTTTGCGACGAGTCAAGCTTACCCCAACGAGTGGTGGTAGCCGCAAGGATAAGGATAAGAAGAAGAAGAAGAAGTATCGCCACTCTACAGGCACCATGCAGACCAATGACAGGAGTGGCGACAACAACAATGACGACGACAGTTTCGCCGGTGGTCCACCGCGCATACGTCGAAAGTCTTTGTTAAGCAAAGTGTTTGGATCCAAGTAAACAATTGTTGTTGCAGCCAGTTGGAAAGAAAGAATGGCACACACGATGCCACGCTGGTTGTTTCTAAAATTGGGATTCATCATTCGCAACGAGCGAGGGTTGAAGCAACGCAAGGAAGGAAAGAAGGGATCACGCAGTCCGTACGTTTCGAGAATACTTGAACGAGCAAAAGCTAGCTAGACAGAAAACGAAGCCCGCAAGTGGAGAATGAGTGAATGAGTTTTGGTTTCAGGGAAATGTACCACACAGATGAAATTGCAGCATAACTAGCTAGCTATTAGAGAGTAGATATGAATGATGATTGCTGCACCTTTTGTTCGCTGGGTCCAATACCGGTACGAGAGTGGGTAAATGACGACCTTACCGTAGCTGCTTGCAGTGTGCAGACAGCTTTCAGAGCGGACCGATTTGATGGATCTTGGTTCCGACCTTTGAACTGGTTTTCATGTTTTCATGCAATTTAATTGGTTCCGTGCGGGATATCTATGTAGATGACGTCATGTAGAATACATTAGCTTAGTTTGTGGTGGAGTGTTTCACCAGATCCTTCAGATTGAATGCCGGATCTTGTGAGCACAAAAGAAAGATTCGATTCACGGGACAACAACCAGAACAACCAACAAGCAAACAAGCAACAACAGTTTATTTTTTAAAAAGGAAAGGAGCAATAAGGAAGAGAAGATGAAGTCAGTTCCAGTTCTACTAAGTGTATTGAGCATGTTGGGTATGCTAAGTGTGGTTGCAGGCCAAGCTAGTGTCCAGTGTCTGCAAGAAAGCAGACAATTGGAAGAAGATTCTTTTTTGGACATGATCCAAGATGATCTGTACAATCAGTACAAGGCTGATTTTGACAGCATTTGTGACTTTACTGGTCTGACTACTCCTGACTGTGGCCTCAAATTTGATGGAGACAATGCTACCTATGTGGCTGCTTGTGTGGACAAGGGAGGTCAGGTGCTTACAAGACCTGTAGTGCTCAAGTGTGGCTACAGTGTGGCCACCTTCAATTGGGACCTAGGAGTGGCTCCTACTTGTGTGAGCACTGCTTGCAACATGTCTGCCATTCAGCCTCATGAACTCAATGACACTAGACTAGAAAAACTACTCACTGATCTATCCATTACTGGATGTTCTGCAGACCTATCTGCTGCCAATCTAAACCATGGGTATGGTAAGATGATGGTGGGAATCATGGCACTTACCACACTTGTTGGGATTTTCATCTAAGAGGTAAACACAACGCAACAACAACCAACAAAGATTGCATTCCTTTTATTTAAAAATAGCAAGAACAGAAGATACATTTATTGCTTCATTTCAATTTACATCTATCTTTTACTTAGCCAAAAATGGATTGCGTATTGCATTGATGTATTCTCTTTCGTTCTGTTTGCTACCTACTAGCTGCCTACCGTACCGGTACCCTAGCAAGCTATAGCTATTGCTCCGTCGAACAGACTATCAGAAAGTTTGAGAGCTAGCTACTTTGTTGCCGGTGGGATGGAACAAGCACCCCAATCGAGGGGCCGATGCCTTGCAAAACGTTGATTATAGGCTTGCCGGCTTAATAAGCCAAAGATACCAATGACCGTCTCTGCTATCCCTCACTGGCAAGCAACAGGCTCGATCTGTCCGAGATGCTACAGTCGCAGTGGCTCGGATCAGATGAGATAGAAGTTCTAGCTCGTGCCATGCATCCATCGTCACTCAGCAAGCAGCAATCCTCACTTGCTTCTCTTGCTTCAACTCGATTCATCAACTATCAAACCGCATGATCAAGTCAATGACAATGACAAGCACATTCTGGTCCCGTCTTTCTATCGTTTTCGTGCTATTCCACTTGCTGCATGTATTTGTAGTGCGTCCTGTGGAAGCAGTGGTGTCAGCAGAATGCGAACATGAAACCAAAGTGATCCAATCGTACAGTAATGTACAAGCAGAGCTGCACCTGGCATTGCACAAACACGTTCAAGGCCATGTCCTCGACTGCAACTACACGTCCATGACGGAGTTCAACTGTACCATTACGTACGACCCCCAAGAAGAAACCATGGCCCCTTATCAAGAGTTTTGCGATCGAGCACAGGGACAAATAGTCAAGCGAAAAGTAGACCTCAACCATGTCCTCTTGGGAGTCCTTACGTTCAATGTGGCCATAAAGGATATTCCTCAATGCGTGGGTGCCAGCTGCGATCCCAGCACTATCGAACAGGACGATCTTCCCAATGACATCTTTGGAGATTTCATCAAGGAAATGTCAGAAGGAGACATCTGCGACCAAGCTACCGCTAGTTGGGGAGAATTGGACTTTTGGGGAAACTTTGGAGTTCAGATTGCTTCTTGGGCTGGAGTTGATTTGAGAGATTGTTTTGATGATCCAGAAGATGATGAAAATAACTAGCTACCAGGTAGCACAAAGATTACACATTCTGACATGTAGTACGGTACCGTAGCAGCCAAGAAGCAAGGGAGTGGATTCGATTCATGACTCTCCTTGCACACACTGTGTACACTGTCTACGGGTAGAATACTAAAACTAACGATCTCCATACGATATCGACGTACCAGGTAGGCTGAGCTATACACACCGCTAGCTAGCTCACGATACCCTCAATACATGTACTTGCAGAGCCCGAGCCGAGGTGCAGCCATGAAGCCATGAAGCAAGGGGAGAGACCGACCGCACCTCCGCTGCGTCAATCGATTAACCGTTCGATAGTGATTCGAATGTTGGTGGTCCAACTCGAATTCGAGTGAGCTTTGTTTTGTGGCCACCCGGGCAAGATATCTTTCGCACGAACGACATTGATTGCTTCAGAGTGATTGAATTAGCTTTGATTGTGGTAGAGTGACAAGCTGTGTTGATGACTATGGGTCGGAGTATCGAGGACACGTAGCACTCGTCCAGAAAGGACAACAATGATACCGTTGGAATCCACATGCGTACTAATTTATCTAATACGAGGACTATGATGGCAACAGAGGTTTCCGATGAGTGTGACAACTTGTTTGTTATGGACGGTTAGTTAGGTCCAATTCTGGTGTGTTCTTGGTGGTCAAAGTACAATGATGGCTATAGTGATGAGCTGCCGTATCCAAGAAGTTCTTGTTCGACGGCGGAGATTTATGGTTGGGTGAGTCCAAAATGTCTTTTCACCTCTGCTGTTGCTCATGACAGATGCATTGGGACGCTCTACCCCCAAAACAATCTCCATCAATCCTACGAAACTTTTCTTTGTAAAGTCGCACCCCCAAAACAATCTGTCAGCACGTGAACATTGGACTGCATCAGTGTCATTTTGAAAATTCGGCGCTCTAAGTAGGTTTCTTTCGTCATTGGCGCCACAAAATGAGGTTGAAATTAAAGCAATGCAAGTCCAGCCAGCCAATGAATGGATGAGGCGGAAGATCTATTTTTGAAATACTGATACATGTGGTTGATGTGAGAGTGGTTGGAGTTTCACAATCATTCATTCCATCAATCGTTCATTTTTTGGTGTTACTATTATTATTTCTTGGGTGTGTTTTGTTTTTAATAAAAAAATAAAAAAAGAGACAATGACAATGATGAAGGTGTTTCTATTTTTTGGTTTGATGAGTATGATGATGGGAGTGAATGGAAGGATGAACAAGATCAGAGGCAGTCAAAAGATAATTCCCCGAGAAGTGGAACTGGCAACCCAAGGCAAAGACAAGAATGGCAATGATTTGAATGAAGGAACTCCAACTCTATCTGGTTTGACTCTGGGTGATGTGTATGACTATGTGGTTGGGAACACGGATGGAGATGGCATCAGTCCCAGCAATGCCGCCTGTGAGAACCGGGAGTATGTGGATGTGATTGTCATTGGCGCAGGAATGGCGGGAGTCAGAGCTGCCACTACTTTGCAAGCAGCAGATCCAAACATCAACTATATAGTGCTAGAGAGTCAAAATCGCGTCGGAGGAAGAATGAGATCTACTACTTTTGGAGAACCCACCAATGCCAGAACCATCGAAGATGGAGCCAATTGGATCATTCAAATGAACAACAATCCTGTACTAGATAAAGCTATTGAGTTGGGAATTGTGGCTCATGTCAATGACTATGACAATGTCGCTGCTTATGATGAGTTTGTAAGTGCACACACAAAAAAGAAACAATGACAACCACAAAAAAATGGCAAAAAAATGGCAAAAAAATGGCAAAAAATGACAAAAACAACCCTTACTCATCCATCAATTGATCAATTGATCTATCTATGCTTTTGTATTTATTTACAGGGAGTCCCAATTCCCCAAGCCACCATCATGGCCGAAAACGAACGATTCCTAGAAGCATGGGAAGAAGCCATTAAGGAAGCCGATAATCAGTGGGCACCTGATCATGAACAGTGGGATGATCAAGGCGTCATTGCTCTACTTGCGAAAAATGGATGGGAAATTGGAGAAGGACAACAAGGAAACCTCGATTTTACCACTGAATGGCATTACATGGATTTTGAGTAAGTCAAGTCTACAAATTCAACAACCCATCAGCAAACGAAACGAAACGAAACGGCATGGATTGTCTTGTCTCTAACACTGAGTATTTTTTTCGTTTTTGTGAATAGATACGCCGCCCGGGATACGTCGGTCCGGTACTTTCCCTACTACTTCAACACGGCCCTACATGTCAATGACATGCGAGGATTCGAAGAAGTGCCACAAGCCATGTTCAGAGATGATGCCGACATGAACAAACTCAGAACTTCCACACGCGTCAACAAAATCAACTATGACGAAAATGTGGGATTCCAAGGAAACAACTACCGAGTCATGGTCAATGCTGAACACACCGAACCAGCTGTCGGGGAACCCACTTGCACCGATTACTACGCGAAACGAGTTATTTCCACCGTCAGCGCCGGGGTCATTGCCAATGATCTTATTGAATTCAATCCTCCACTTGAATATCCACATGTGGATTACAACCCATACTACATGACACAATACGTCAAAATCTTCTACCAATTTGACAGTCAATTCTGGGATGACAACGAACTCATCCGTGTAGTCAGAGATGTCGACCATCGTGGACACTGCCATCACTGGGCAAACATGAATGGAGAAGGATTTTATCCGGATTCCAACATGATTCGGTGCGAGGTGAGTGAGCAATGACACAAACTAACAAAGAACATCTGCCATCGTTTCTTTTTTTGTGCCGTCATTGCTGATTGCTGACGCTCTTTATTTGATATTTTCTTTGCCAGATCATGACGGAAGCTTTTGATGAGCTCAAAGATCCCATTACCGAGGATTTGACCAATGCAACCTTGAACATGCTCTTGGATCCATTGCGCACTGCCTACGGTGAGGCAAACGTTCCCGAACCACTACAAGTCTACTACCCCAAACTCAACAAAGACCGGGACTTTGGATATGGAGCTTACGCCAACTGGAAAACGGGATTTACATTCAAGCAATACGCACACATGTATGGTGGAGTGGACGGAGTGGTAGACTACTGCGAACACAACGGCTGCAACTCCATGGGAGATTGGACCATGATTCTGTCGGGAAGCCATACTTGCTATGATCAGGCAGAGTTCACCCATGGCGCCTACTTTGCCGGGGAGAAGGCAGCCAACCAAGTGTTGCGAGAGTTGGGATACACTGGTGTGGACGAGTCACTGAGCCCTTGCGACATTGACTGGCATTGGCTCTCATAAGGAACAAACAAACAAACAAATTACAACAACGCACTGTCCGGCGAGCATGAAAAACGACCGCAGATAGGGATGCGTCGTTTGGTGGCACGGCGACCGAACCGTTCGAACTGGTGAAAATTGTCGGGTGCTTTGTCGCGTTCATGGCTGATTTTACTTTTTGAGAGGGCGACGGCGCTAGCTCCAGAGGAATCGAATCGAATCAGCCGCAAAATCTCTCAGCGCATTGGCGGCGCGACAGAAAAGATCAGACTAGAGACGCAAACTATCGAGAAGAAAGCAATACCTTCATACTGCACATTAGGCACCATAAAAGAAATCAACTATTAGCGCTACATCTTGCACAAAGCTTCTTCATCTTCCATGATGTTCATTCATCATGGTGCTGGACCGGTACGATGGGCAGAGCTCCTTTGAAGGGCTGGGCTGAGTCAGTCACTAAACTTCGCTGGCTTGGATTCAACTTCTTGATCGCGGAAACAAAAGAAGATTTAACGTTGACTCTTGGGATGAACTACCCCACGTGCTCACCTGTAGCAACCGGTCGTGGTACAGCAGCAAAGGAGAATAGTGAAGAGTGCCTGTCTTTGTCAAAAAGCTTAAAGTTGGTTGATTGCGCTGGCTTGGTCGTCTATAGACGCTGGTGGAAACATGGCAGAGGCACAGCGATTGCTAGCTGGACTAGATTGGTGGTTTCGTGTTTGGATGGTTGAGCGAGAGCAGTGGATTGGCCTGGGCAATCAACGTCGGACGCCCTTTCTTTTGCTCGAGATGTTAGTCATACTACTTAGAGAGGCACGGAACTAGGTACGGTAGCTTGGAGGGAGTGTCAAATCACCACGCACCTCTCTTTCCTTCTGAAGTTGCCTCTGAAGCAAATGCAAATCAACTGCTTTAGCTAGCTGCTCCTGATGGCTACTGTTTCAGATCGAAAGACCGTCATAGCATGGGACCAGTGAAGAAGGAAGGGACAGCTGCTTCTGCTCGTTGCAAAGAGTGGAGGGCGAGCTAGCTAGTTGGTGAGAGAAGCTCGACAACCACTGGTCCCTCCATTCGCTTACTCAGTGATCCCTCTTGTGACGCTGAATTGTCACCCTTTGTTAAATAAAAGAAAGAACCTTCTCCTGGAGCACATGAATTGATTAGGGCACACGTTTGAAGGATTTACTGTCGATTGGTACTTACATCCCACGTAACCAGTGTGAAGGAAGTCATAGATCCTTTCACAGTCATGGATGAGATGGAAGCAGTCATTGTTCTGACATCACGCTCGAAAGAGCCGAAAAGAAATTTCAAAAGTCAAAGCCACAATCTTTCTCACTTCATCGGTTCCAGCAGCGACTTCTATCTCCACAAGTAGAAACAATAGTGATTGATAGAGCAAGAGCAAGATGGCGCCTCCCAACCGCACCGTAAGCAACAGCAGTACGATCGCTACCAACGACGGCGACAGTAGTGAAGTCTACGAGAGCGTGTTGGACGTGGACGATCACATTGAAATGTTGAGTCGCGCCAGCAGCACCAAGAAGAAACCTCGTCGCATGGCTTCCGCTACGGGCGCTAGTAGCAACACTAATAACAATAATAATATTAGCAATGCAGACGAGATGCTCAAATGGCCCATGAAAACAAAATCATGAAAGTTTGCATTCAAGACCTTCAGCAGCAAGTGAGGAGACTCGAGAGTCATGCGGGACTTCCTCCAGCCGGGATTGACGAACTGGAAGCAGTCCCGCTCATCATTGCTGCTCAGGATCCGGAACAGGCCGTGACCAATGCCAGTGCAGCACGAGCATGCATACCGGTACGGGCAGCAGAGCCAGTAAGAGTGTTTCCTTTTCCAGCAGTGACGATGAAGACGACGACGAAGATGACGAAGAAGCAGGAAAGGATTCCACTCGTGGCAACGTTCACAACCGAAGACGGGATAGCAGCTTCGTTCAAGGAGACATGTCCATGGCGCATTCCCGGGCCAGTCGACACAGCAAGAATCGCAGAAACAAACGAAGTTCCACCGTCGTCATTGGAGAAGACGGAAACGTCAAGGACGATATGCTAGAACAGCATCTATCTGAAGATACATTCGGATTCTTACTCGCCACTCCCGTCAGCAGTGCACCCTTTTACATGGGAATCGGAGTCCTACTCTTTCAGGTCGCCATTTACGTACTCATGGTCATGAACTTACTAGACGTCGATCAGGCGTCCGAAAATCTGTTTGGAGTTCCCGCAAATGTCAACTGGCCCGTATGGATCGCACAGATTATTGCCATTATCATTGCCGTCATTACACAAGACGACATTAGAACCGGACTCGACATGCTGCGAGAAGGATACGGAGCCGAGATGCAAGTGGCATTTCCACACTCCAATCGATGGAAATTCGTATTATCCGTATTTGCAAGAATGCTGGGAGGGTCACTCGGATTGATCACGAACTTTTTACTCATTGTCACAAGTTCAACCGTCATTGACTTGCTACTCAACTTTACAGCATTGGCATTTGTCGGACAACTCGATGAAGCTGCGTTCTTTCTATCCAAACAAGGATTTGCTGGAGAAACTTGTTTGGATCATGCCACCAAAATAAGTGATGCATCATATCCCGTTCCAAAAGCTATGGTGCAAGCCAGAAAGACATTCATGATGGTATCCATTCTGCAATCATGCTCGCAGGATGGGTTTTGGTACGGTTCAAGCAAACTGGAGGAGAATACCTCTGTGGAACCATCATTGTGCAAATGGGAGACGAACTTCGACCGGAAATGGGAACCTTTTCCGGTTTATACGACTTGACCAACGCCGATGGATTGATATTCTCCAGTCGACACGTACAGTACACGGATCGTGCCGCCGGTGGAACGCGATTCGTCTACTGTGCCGATAATGGATACTGGGTACTACAATGGAAATCTTCCCTCGATGGACAATTCCCTACCAGCACGTGCCAGGATTACTATGCGCGATCGTCCAAAACATCCGAGTTTGACTTGACCAAAGTCGTCGATATACAGTGGTATGTACGAGATGAATTCAAACGAGAAACCGTCCTAGAGCCATTCTTTTTGCATTGCTTTGATTGCGGGCACACATACAATGCCGACACGGGAGATCACTGCAGTGGCCGGGGAACATGCTCCAACGCTGTATGTTCCTGCGATCAAGGATGGTACGGACTACGCTGCGAATTCTTGCAGCCATGTCCCAAACTACAGCTTGATGCTCGAGTTTCGGGGTCTTTTTTGAAAAACAACGAAATTGCGCTACACTTGGAAGGCGGACTCGATATACTCATGGACAAATCGCAGAACCCCCCACGACTCATTGAAGCCTACAACAAACCAGTCTTTGCCGGACATTTGCTACATGGTACGTTGCTACATTCGTGGTCTTTGAATGAAGTGGCCGTGTCACCTAGAAAGTATTCTCTCACAGTTGTTCGCTTTTTTGTTCGATGCCCTTTGCCAGGTCATCATTTGCTCGTCTTTTACACGGGTAGACGATGGGTCTCAACGCACACTGGACTGATATCACCAAGTGCAAACTGGACACAATTCAACTCGAAGGAGACTGCACTGCAGGAACTGATCAAGTTCTTTGATAACTTCCATGGACACTGGACAAATTACGCTGTGGAATTCATCTCCGAACCAATGGATATTGCAACTCCAGCCGATGCCCCTCAGCCCATTGGAATACTCTTCTACGAAGCCATCACGAAATCAAGTATCAACCAAACAGAAATTCAGGCTCCCAACGAAGCCCGTCCCACAGAAGCACGGATGGTTTGTGGCTACTGCAACGATGATTTCAACCCTTGCCATTTCGATGGAGTTTGTGTCCAAGGAACATGCTCCTGTGCCATTGGAGCTCATGGATCGCTTTGCGAAAAGTCACCGGTTGCTAACGGACGCTGCGACCAAAACTATAATATTCCGTACTTTGAATTTGATGGCGGGGATTGTTGCGAAGCTACCTGCATCAGCTCGCATGAGTTTACCTGTGGCGAAGAACTAAATGGGCACACGAACCAGGGATATCCTAACTGCAACCTGCCACCCGACCGGTGGCAATTACTCCATGACAACCACATTGTGGGCGATCCTTTGTCGTTGGCAGGCTATGCCGTCGCGACTTCTCAGGCTGGAACGTTGCTGGCAATGGGAGAACCGGAACAGTCTCGCGTAAGAATTTACGACAAGGACGGGTCCATTTGGGTAGAACGAGAAGTACTGGATGGTCTTCCAGACTCTCACTTTGGAATATCTTTGGACCTGTCTGGAGGACCAGTACATTGGAGGAATAATCCTGGGTTTCGCTCCCCGCTCCTCTTGATGATTGGAGTCGCAAAGAAGGGGGGTCCAAAGCGCGTGGATGTATTCAAGTGTGGAGTTGACGTAAAGTGTAAAAAAGTGGATGAGATCATGAATGTCCATGGGAAGATTGGACCAGAGGCCTATTCCATGTCCAATAATGGAAGAGTCGTCGCCTACGGATTGGCCGAGCCAGCCTCTGTGGTGGTCTACGAAGTCTCCGGGGACTACTACGAAGGCAACCGCACCGCTCGCGCTGTACCCGAGGAAATCTCTGCCACCGCATCGGCCGTCAATGGAACATCAATATCCGTGCGACTGCCCCTCCCCAGCCAAGCCACTGCCGCGGTCACGGCTTTGAAACTCTCCGAGCATGGTGATATAATGGCTGTGTTTCTGGAAAACCCATCTCGGCGAAGGAATGTGCTTCGAGTGTACGAATGGGATGGCAAGATCTATCAACCGAAGGGAGGTATTGTCATGGAAACAAATGCTGAAGTCCTTCAACGGCAACTGGCTCTTTCAGATGACGGATCTACCATTGCGATCGGTATTTCAGAGTGTCCATCCCTTGACATTCTCTTGTATACGTGGGATGAATCGTCTTCTACTTGGATGCGGCGAATCTCTCCTCCTCTTGACAACGAGGTGTGCGACAACGATTTCCTGCCGTGGTCAGTCGCATTGAGCCAGGATGGTTTGACAATTGCCGCGTCTGCCTATCCCAACACTGATGTTGTCACCACCTTTCGGTGGATAACCAATGGCTGGCGCATCGAGGGAGATCCCCTTCCAGGAAATCTACCTGGATCGCACACATCAATTGCCTTGTCAGCAGATGGATCGCATCTGGTGGTTGGTCTGCCTTATTCAGCTACCATGGAAGCCGGTAGCATTGATACCTACTCCCTTCCCACGACCTTGTGCCCTGCTGGTCATTCACACCACTTCCGTCTGTCGTTAACCACTGATTACTCTCCTCAGAACACTTTGTGGGAGCTGGAAGACAAGAGCAGTGGAGAAATCCAGCTGACAGGCGGGCCGTATCCTTTCATCGTAGCAACTCTAGTGGAAGAGGTCTGTCTCGACCGCCAGATTTGCCATGCCTTTACCATTTACAATACCGCGAGCAACGCAGGCTTGGAGGCGCCTGGCAGATACGACTTGTTCCTCGACGGCGAAGATTTGGATCGTGAAAGCTTCTCCGGGCACGCCAAGCGTATATTCTTTGGCAGTGAGTGCATGACTTGTTCCGATGGCACTAGGATGCTGCGGATGATGGTTCGTACATGCCATCAAGCAGAGTGGAAGTTGACGGATGAATCAGGTTCGGAAGTTGTGGGCGGTTCGACAGCCAACGACCACAGCTGTTCGGGCCCGGATAGCGTTGATGGATACTTCTGGGAGGACACTTGTATTGACGTGACAAAATGTTTCACTTTCACTGCGACCGATACATCGAATGCTGACCAAGGCAGCGTTGGTTTCGACTACATTCTCATGTACGATGACGACGTTGTGTTCGCCTCCAACAAGGGCATCACGTCGTCTGCTACGGTTACTGCCGGGAGCTGTCAAGTGCTATAGTGTTGGCGCAAATAGCGACATGTAGTGGTTGTGGTGGTTCGTTTGTATTCATTGCCTTCACTTCACATGTAAAATAGAACCTTATTGCCAGTTATTACCACTGAGTAGTTGTTTTTCAAGATTGCAGCGTAACAGCTGCGATAACCAAAGAAACAACCAGCTTCAATCGCCATGCTCTTCGGATCCATCAGCCTTCCAGAAGCGCGCAGTCAAGAAAACCTCCCCAAGATCCATGTTGGAGCGCCGTAGCTGCCAGGTTCCTTTTTGCTGTCCTGTGTGAGAATTCAATGTGGCTGAAGCAGCGAGTGTCTTTCTTGTGGGAGTTGAAAGATCGACGCGCACAAGTTACTCACAGCCAGTCACTGTCAGTCACTGTTCAAGGGACACTCCAAGCGAGGACAGCTCACGACTTGTCGTTCAGCAGTGTGGCAGCTGGCGTCGCCACGCCCCAGGACCCGGTGTGTGTGTGAGCCGGAGTATTACCATTCCGATGGCTTGCTGTCTCCTCGTCTCCTCTACCTCTCTTGAATAAATGTTTTACGAAGATCTTGTTTTCCGAAAGGCTTCACTCTTGATCTCTCATAGCGTCTGCCTTTATCTTTGTAGTTGTTGGCTGGCCAGATGGGGATCTCAGGTTGTACGGGCTTTTGACTGACTCGGACCCTTTGTTCTTCCACTAGATGCCTTTGGACTTTCTGTGTTTTTCGCTCTCGAGGAGGAGGAGAGGAGTAGCAGCCTGCTACCCTAGCTACCTGGTGAGATCAAAGCAAAGAAGCCAATTGGTTAATCTATTCTTTGTTGACAGTTTTGACAGTTGGCAGTGGACAGCAATCGGCGAGCCCAAACGAAGCAAAGTCTGAATCAAACTGGTACCAGTATCAAGCAAGCATTCGGAACAACTTGAGAGGCACCTCCAGAACTGGCAAGAACCAGGTTGTTGCATCCTCCTTCCTTGGCACCTCAAAAAGGATAGGACTACAATTGAGGCCTCGACAAACAATAGCTAAGAGAAGGATGACGGGTTATTACATACAGTTTGCTTTTAGTTTCTGGTTTATAGTTTTGCTTAGCATGATTATCTTTCTGGCTATCCCGATCTGGCAATTCTTGTTTCCCTCTTTGGTGCTCTTCTGATAGAAGTTTGGAAAGCCTTTGCCATTTTGGACATGCTAGTCATATCTGAGATAAGGTCTTTGGTAGAACTTGCCACTGCTCTCCTTCTTCGTTGTCTTTGCTTGCTGTTGGTCTTGCTAGTACCAGAACTGTTACTGATAGTGCTAGAAGTGGCCGTGGTGGATGGGGCCATTGCTGCATCCTCAGGGTTAAGGTTCATGTTTGCATACTTGACGAGCAGAGAGTCCTTGTATTCCTGAATGGTTTCCTGGCGTAGCTTTCGTACTCTTCTAGCAATCTTTTCCGCTTGGACGATTTCTTGTTTGTTTACATCGTAGATATGCGTGAGAATGAAGCGACGAGTGTCTGCATTCAAGGGAGAAATCTTCTCCTTATCCTCAGCACTACCGGTACTATCATCCCCCTTCAAGCTACCTGTGGACTCTAGAAAAGCCCAACCAATAGATAGCGCAGGACCTCCGCCCTTGACTTCAGGGTGATCTCCCAGAATGCGCTCGTATTCACGCACTTGCAATACAGTCTCAAATCTTACACTGCTCATTTTGGATTAGCTATTGATGATATTCTTCTTTCTTCTTGTGTTGTTGCTGCTTTGTGAGCGAAGGTTGGTTTTGTTCTCAAGAAAATTGTGAGATGCTTTCACGGATGCTTTGGCTCTTGATTTCAGGGAACCATCTCACACAGTGCAGCCAGGCGCAGCCGGGTCCAAAATTTCCCTGGAAAGTCCCGCAAAAACTGAGTTTTTGCGATACTCTTTAATTAAACAGCCTGATTGTTGAATAAATCCAACAAGTGTTGAAAAAGGGTTAATTAAAGTGTTGAAGAGCTCTTGATTTAATGTTGACTCCGTTTCAACAACTGTTGGATTTACTGTTGCATTTTTTTACATTATTTTCAACACTTTTACTGTAACTATCTAATAATGGATTCAACATCTGTTGAATTCAGTGTTAAACAGTATTCAACACTGTTGAAAAAGTGTTTAAAAAGTGTTTAAATAAGTGTTGAACAACTGTTTAACAAAAGTCAACAATGTTGAACTCAAATTCAACACTTTTACAGATCCTTTCAGGGATTCCAGCTTTTGCGGGACTTTCCTGGTATCAATGTGCTTTTCTCGGTGGAAACCAGGTTACCTGGACCTGAGCATCTAAAATTCTTGCACAGGAGTCACTGGTATCAAGGAGCTTATGTGGGGATGAACCGGTCAGACTTGTGAAAACTTGATCGAAAAGCCCCTTGAGAATCCATTCGTACTGAATAATGTACACTAAACCAAGAACTTTAAAGAACGTCTGTCTCGACAAAAATTACTGAGTCGAGTTCGGAGACAGCCAATAAGGATCCCTTTTCTATTGACAGCTTTGACATCGCTGTTGTTAACAACTCAGGTGCTTGACATGTCTGAGCGCAGCTGATCGCATTAACAACTGTGACACACAGCAGAAAGCAAGCTGGACTAGTCCCTTCATAGAGAAGGTACTGGCTGACTATACTAGGTACTCTTTTCGTCCAACCACCCTACATACAGCAATCAGGCTTAAATCATGCGGAAGCTTCCTCAATAAATACAAAACTTGTCCGAAACTGCTGGAAAGCCAAAGGAAAGTATCTTGATAAAGAGAATAAAAGGAAGGAAGCCGCTCAATTAACATTGGACGAAATCTTCACGCCAAAGAAGCTTTGACAGAAATCTGTTTTCTCCTCGGAACTGTTTTACGTTTTACAGTATTTTTGGAGGAGGTATCATAGTCTGCATGCCACCGGAACAATCGCCTTTCCAATAGCCAGCAATGCAGCTTTCTCGTTCCCCTTCAGTTCATGACATTGTACATGTACTAGTACCACGTACCACGTCGTGCAATGGGCAACGGCGCCCGCTGAGTCGAGTCGAGTCGAGTCGAGCCGAGTCAAGAGTCAAGTGCTTTCATTTATTTGGCACCGGTACCCGGTACCGTCCAGGCTTACAGAAGATTCGATTCCCACTGCCACCGGTACGACTGTACGTGTACGCACAATCCAATACAGTAGGCAGGACGGTACCGGTACCGTTGCGACCACTGGCGCCACTCGGCAACTGATTGCATGTGGTCAAAATTTGATGCACACCACATTATCTATGATAGACCACCGGTATAATATGTATGGCCAGTGGCACCCCAATCGGCCGGTGCAGGTCGCCGGTAGGCTACCGTACCTGAGCCCCCAAAAGGCAAAAATAACGCAGGGTTTCATGCAAGATATCATGCTGCTGCATACTGCCTACAGCTCTGCCTACATACATTGTAAAACTGCCTTACCTGGACCTGGATCACCGGTACATGTACAAGCAGTTCGAGCTAGCTAGATACTGTACAGAGACACTGAAACGAAAGCAAGCTTCTAGTTAGTACGCCGCCCCAGCCGATGCGCCCGGTTTGCTTCTGTGGTGAGCGGGCAAATCAAGAGCGTCAGCTGAGGACCAGCCATCTGGATCGGCCCTGAAATTCTGTCAGGGACCGCTTGATATAGCTGTCCTTGGCTGCAACTTCCTTCACTACTGCTCGGCTAATTCGCAGGTATCAGGCGAGGTGCCTGCTCGGTTAGTTTTGGAAGCTGTTGGATGAGTGTGAGTCTACGTCGCCTTTTCGTGGCTCATGAGCGACCAACTGTAGCTCCAAGCCGAGGGTATCGTACCGGTAGCCCCTGTGACCGCTGAAGGACCAAGAGTGGGAGCGAGATTCTTCTCGAGTGAGGCAGCTATTTGAGCAACGGGAAGCTGTACCACTCAACCACTTACCTGTAAACTCATCAGTCACGCCGGCACTATGCTGAAATCCTATGGCCGTTGACAGAACAGATCCATGGCAGCCAGGGCTACAGCAGCAAAATCGGAAATGGGTGAATCCGATCCAAACTCGACTCCCGAGCTGGTTCATGTCCTTTCAAAGGCTGGAATCTTTTTTACAGCCATGGCTGCAACTTGCAAGGCTAAGTTGATGCTGTAATCTACCGGTACCGTAGCAACCTACAAGACGTATTCATGAATCTAAATCAAATGGCTAGCAAATTGCCCAACTTTGCTACAGACTAGACTGAAAAAAAGAGGAAAATCGTCCCTCTGATAGATTTGGTGGCTAGCGAGCTGGTTTCTACTAGTACTGTAGCCTAGTGACTTACTTGTCGAGGGGACTTTTGTGGTTTCTTGTTGAGAATGTTGAGGTGCCTGGCAAAAGGCATAGGACTAGTGGACCTAGCAGGCCTGGCGTCAGCACCACGATAGTCAGCAGTGTCTGCATCTTGGCGATGATTGCTGTCGTCGTCGTCGTTGGTGGTGGTGTTTGCTTGTTTGCAATGACTCAAAAAGTATGGCATGGAATCATCCATTGCCTTGATCCATGGAGTGGTGAAGTGGGGTGAGAGTGTGTTTGTGACAACAGATCTGTATGCGTTGTTTCGGTACCCCATGATATCTTGGTGCTTGTGATGTTCCCATTCGACAAATATTTTATTGACGGCTTCAACATCAAGGTCAGGATAGTCAGTTTGTTGAATGAGTGATTTGATATAGTCTCCTTGGAACCAAACCTTGTCCTTGTCGGTGATGAGTGTGTCATGTCGTTGTGTCCACTTTGCAGAGTGTTCTTTTCGTTCTTGAATGGTATTTGGTATTTGTATTTTGCCTAGAATGACATCCCGACTCCACCATGCCTGTGCGTCAAATAAAGTGAGGCTGAAATACTGCTGGTGCATTCCAAGGTAGTGTATCCGTGGATTGTTTTCGAATGCCACTCCTTGATATAGTTGTGGGAGCCATATTTTGTTTTCACCTTGTAGTTTGATGGGTTCATCTAGGAATGGAAAGGAATGTTGGTATCCGGTGCAGAGAATAATGGCATCAACGTCTTTGGACGATGCATCTTTGAAGTGTACGGTAGTTCCCTGCACCTTGGTTACGAGTGGTTTGGTTTCCCAGTTTTTGGGCCACTTGAAACCCATTGGTCTTGTCCTACGGTACGGTATGCATTGAATGAATGAGTGAGCAAACAAAACGATCAGTATGAGTGCAACCACAAAGCAACTGCTTGCAACCCATTCGAATGCAGACACTGTCATTCATGTATTGTGATTCAACTCAAGAACTCACCGATAAGACGCCGTGACGGACTTGGCTCCATACTTGTAGCATTGTGATCCAATATCTTCTGCCGAGTAGCTAGCTCCCACAATAAGTACATGTAGGTCCTTGAAGTCAGCCGCATTTCTAAAGTCGTGGGAGTGCAAGATGCGTCCTTTTCCATCAAAAGTGTCCATTCCTTGAAAGTATGGCATGTTGGGTGTGGAGAAGTGTCCCGTGGCCACAATGACATGGTCTACGTGATCATTGACTTGTACGTTGTTGGCAAGATCCTGTACCACAATGTCAAACTTTTGAATGTCTTCGTGGTAGGTGACTCTGCGGACGACATGGCGGAACTTGACCCATCGTTTGGGAATATGGGTAACTCGTCCCTTGAGGTAGTCGGCAATGACGGCGCGTGGGGGATAAGATCCAATGGGCTTGTTAAAGTGTGTTTCAAATGGATAGTCGGGACTGAAAAATGGATCGTACCGTTGAACCAAAGAGTGGTGAACAGTACACCGTAAGTCACAGAAGGATAGCTAGTGGTAGCTATAGTCAACATGGTTGTGAATGACATTGCTTGCAACTTACTATTCGATGCACTCTTTAGGAGAGTTACTCCATAGATTTCTGTACATACTAGCGTGTACTGGTTCTCCCGTCTCATCTAGCCCAGTTCTCCAGCTGTAATTCCACAAGCCTCCCCATTCTGCCTGCTTCTCGTAGCAAATGATCTCGGGAATGACAGTACTACTACTACTAGTAGTAGAAGCAGCCGTGTAGAAAGAGTGCAGAGACGAGAGTCCAGAAGGACCTGCGCCGAGAATCGCTACGCGGCGGCGGCTCATGTCGTCATTTCGATCTTCGTTCGCCATGGTCAACGGTCAACATCAAAAGAGCAAAAGCTGATTTGTGAGGTGTGGGGGTGTGGGTGGCTCGGTTTTCTCCAGCAAAAGGCATTATTGAATTATAGGACGTCTTACGACACTCAATGATATAAAGATCGTTTACGTCGATAAATCAATAGTTCTCTGCTCGTTAATTCGAGATTTAGTCCTGTGACATGGAAGAGACATATTCTTACTTTCACGTTTTTTTAGTGCGAGAACGAATGTTTGAAGATTCGATTGATCATTCACAATACTTGTACATCTCACGCTACTGGTAGCACGTCGTGCCAAAGTCAGCCACATTTTTGTCTTCAATTTTCTTCATGCTCTTCTTTTTTGGCGTCCGCTTCGACAATTCACTTGACTTGCTGTCATCAGTGCAACTTTTGTAGTTGTCTACAGTCTTGAAATACTACTAGATATCTAGCCAGACAACTTGATGGCCAGTACTCTATTCAAAAATGGGAGTCGAGTCGTCTCGATACTCACAAAATTCAGCAAAAGGATGAACTCTTTTGTCTCTACGGACACCATTGGCTGGGCTTCTCGTCGGAGTTGACAAAACAGGACGAAAGAATGCTAGCTAGCATAGACCACATCAGTACCGGTATGGAATATCCCTCTTGGAATCAATCGAAGTTTCATAAAATGCAAACAGAGACATTGCAAACAGCAATAATACAACCGCTCCTTCCGATCACTACTAGCCCGTAATAGCCAACCAGCCAAGCAAGCAACATGTGCCGTGAAAACAAGATCGCCGTTGCCGTCAGCCCCACCACCAGCTCGCTCCGTCCCAATCGACCACGCACCAGCAGTTCGTCCGACAGTACAACGTCCTCTTCATCTAGCAGTCATACCAGTAGCAGTACCAGTACCAGTACCGGCACCGGTACTAGGAGGAAGAGCCGTCGTTCGAGGCAATCCAGTAGTGTGATGGAAGACTTTCAAGTCAAGGTGCATGCACGCAGGCATCTAGAAGAACGCTCCCGAGAAATGGGATTTCTGTGTCCTCAAATGTATCTCGTCGTAAAGCCTACCAAGGGATCCTCCAGGACCAGTGCTGGAAGGAGGAAAGCTACCCAGCAATTCTAAGCTTGCTGCGCTCGAAGCAACTGATAAACGTCAAGGAGAGGAGACGGGCGGAAGAAACAACCACTGCGGGCAGCGGGAAGGCACAGCGAGCAGTAGCCGTTGCTTCCTGCTCTGTACAGCTGGCTAGGCTCAGTCAGCCAAGCTTGCTTGCTTGTACCACGTGTCATACGCACAGAATAAGAAACTTGTATAGAGAGAATATTTTCAATTATTGCTGTTCACTGAAACCCACAACAATCATGTGTGCGCGACAACAACTACAACAACCCCTTCGCTTGCTTGCTTGGTACCGTTGGCCTCAGTCAAGTCAATGCGGGTTTGTATCTTCCAGTGGCAGACAAGGATATGTGTACTAGTATGTCTGGATGTAAGATGCCGATAGCATGATGAACAGAATACATGTACTGTAGCTCACAAATCGGTTGGTATTGCCAACCTTGGTGCCTGGACGTTTCCTGTATCAAATGGCCTAAACGGCTTATTTTTCAAAAAGCTCAGGGTTCTGCGCGATTGCACTAGCTAGCTAGTATTGTTGGCCAGACTTGCATATCCTTTCCAGCAGCAGATTGATGATTCCTATTGCACACTTGCTTCTAAAGAAAGACGACTTGAAGCTTTGACCATGTTGACTCTGCTCGAAATCCACAGCGCAGTGGCATCAGCGCCTCCACCTCAGCTGCCTGTCACTACTGATCCTACCGCCATGGAGGTGGAGGAAGCGCCAGCTCCAGCTGCGGATACTACGGATACAACTCCGGCAGATCCAAACTCAGGAGGATCTTTTTTGAAGGCCGTCTTATCAGGCATGGAGCAGCGAAGCGAAGCAGCTGAAGTTCCTGTCAGCGCTAGTGGAGTTCCAGTAAGTGTTGCACTCAAGACGATGCAAGCCGTTCAGAAAAGCCAAGAGGCGACCGACTTGCACGAGGCTCTTCACGAGTACACGTTGTTTCCACGACCTTCCTCTACCAAGGACATTGCCAAACTAGCGGGACTCGTTAACCGACTCATTGCCATCATTGCCAAGGCTGGCCTAGAGAAGGGTGGTACCGGTACAACGTGCAAAGATGCTTGGACCATATTTACACTCACAACACTTCTAAGAAGGTACCATGCAAAGGCTCCTGAAGCCAAGGCTCAGGTGTTGGCATTGCTAACCAATGATACCTCAAACACTACTGGTACTGGTACCGGTACCGGTACCGGTAGAACCAAACCGGATGCTGTGGGAGATGGGGAACGCCTCATCTTCTATGTTACTTTCCTCACCCTTCATCGCTTTTGGCAACTGCACAAGCCTGCCAATGATGACACAGGCACTACTGGTCAGCAGGCTCAACGAGTCCTCAAGACTGAGGAACAAAAGCAAGCTCAGCTGGCATACCAAGCTGTCGGCGCCATGATCCGACTGGCAGCCAAGATTGGCGGGACCAGAGATCTTTGTGCCATTATGGAGCACCTCACGATGGCAACCTTGGTTCAGGCCAAGTTTGTCCTTGTACCACCCATTGTGCTTGCTACCGGAGCCATGATGGAGGTCACGGTCGATCCTCCAGAAACATTTGCAGACAAGCTGGTGCCGGCCGTTCAGAATTTTGCCATTCAAAACAATCATACCAACGAACTCCTGGAATTGGCACTCCGACTGGCTGCCCAACAGCTTGATCAAGATTTGCACCTCATCAACAAAGGCAAACACGAGGACGACGATAATCCTAATCAGGGCGAACACCAAGAGATCTTGAGCACCATTCATGTCATGATCCCTCACAACCAACGAGGCAGCAACACACGGGCATCGTGGCAGCGAAAACTTGCCAATAGTCTCGCAGAAATCCTGATTTGGCAAAGAACCGAGACAGCCGCAAAAACTGATTCTCGTTTCGTCAGGGCGATGGACGCACTCAAGGCACTTCCCGATATCATACACAAAGGCAACATTGAAAAGGGACAGGCGCTCATACAGCAGTTGCAAACATCTATTCGCAAACACCGACAGTTGCTCAACAATCATGCACGTCAACAGGGATTCCTTGTCGCGTCGTCCTACCAGATTGACAAGACTTCAATCACGTTCAAAATGATACGGAGAGCTAAAGTGGGAGATCTCAAGGTGTTGGAACTATTGGCGCGCAAACACGGCGATGCACGCACACTCAGACTCATTGCCAAGCGCCATTTGGATCCGGACAAGGCCATACCGATGGAATCCATTCAGGAATTGATATCCAATTGGGTTGGTATTGGTGGTGACGATGACAAAGATGATGAATTGGCTGCCATTGAGCTTCAACTACAAGCCAGCATGGTCCAGGCTACGCTGGACAAGTTACGCTGTCCAGAAACCGACAGACCCGTTCTGGTCACCTGCGTGGGAGCCGATCGCGACAACATTGTGTGTGCCATCCTAGTGGCCGCTAGTGTGGAAAACAGTCGTTTGAGTCTTGCTGGCGAAGTTCATGATGTTTCCACGACGGGAAACTGCATCGATCTGCTCAACCAAGTCTTGGTCCAATCCAAGTTCCTGGTGGACGGAGAGCAAGGATTCATGGCGGTTGAGGAAATCCTAAACAATAACCTGCGCAAGGAAGACAAATCCAAGGAGGATGTCATTGTGCTCTCGTCAAGAGATCTGGAGCTCGACGAACACGTCTTGAAGGAATTACAGGAAAGGGACATTACGCTACGTGTCCATGCAACTTCCAAGCTTGTGGCGGCGCCGACTGGAACGGTGCAACTTTCGCTCAACACGACAATATATGACCGGATCAAAGCACGACAACCGCTGACGCTGGGGGTTGTCCTGGATTGCACCGGAAGCATGGGAGGAGAGATCGAGGGATGTAAGAAAGGGGCCCTTAAGCTCATTTCCACATTCCAAGAGCTCGCGCCCGTCACCGCGGTCAATTTTATGGGATATTGGGATCCGGTCAATGTAAGCACAGATCCCCAACCAAAGAGCACGGGATACTTGAACACTACGAATCGCCACCACCCAGAGAACATGACCGCTCTGACGGAATTCGTCAATACCCAGCTCGTCTGTCAGGGAGGAGGAGACGAGCCGGAGGACATTCCCCAAGCCTTGGAAAAGTTTATTGACGACATGAAAACAGCCGGTTTGTCAGCTGATAAGGGTGTCCACATGCTCTTTCTCATTGCCGATGCAGGATACCGAAGCAACGAGGAGCATCGAATGCGAGCGGCACTTGAGATATTGAAGAAATTGGGTGTTGTCCTGGTCATGTGCAAAGTACGAGGAGGCGGGTCCATTCAGACCTTGGTGGACCGGTCCAAAGAGTGTTTCCAAGAAGATGGACAATTGATATTGCTGGGTGGAGTGGGCCAGCTGGCATCTATTGCAGCCAGTGTGACTGAATCCATCCGAGCATCACTCTTTCAATCGAGCAATGTCGTATCTGTCACGGCATCAGTGGGCAGCACAATTGACGCGATTGCAAAGCTGGTCAACTTCCAGGAGGATCACGAGGCCTTGAAAACGAACGAGGAGCTCACAAAGGATGAGAAAGCGGAGGATGTCAAAGGAGTCTTTGCGTCCAAGAAAGAATACACCTTGACCTCTCGTGACCGCCTGTATCTGCAGCTGTCTCGTCTTCCTCCCTTGTGCCACGAATCCGTACAGTCGGCATTTGGGGGCAAGACCCTGCAAGAGCTCTCAGCAGCAGCAATTGCCAACCGTCTGCGTGCAGAAGGTATCCCGGTTGTCAAGGTAGAAAAGGCTGGATATCCTGAGGAAGTCGTAGAACTTGTGAAGAATTTGATGGGAGGACATGGTGTCATGCGGGTAGATGGTTGAGCGTGCATTTCATGCCCATGGCAATCAATGCGCTCGATGGTATCCCGTCACCAAAACAAAGCCTTTTCCACAAACACAGATAATCGTCCTACTTTAAACCCCCTCCTGAACATTGCACAATACGTAGCGGTACCGTACGAACGAAGCCGTAGCGAAACCGTGTCCTGCTTGAATTGATTAAACCCACTTCCAGTAAATCCTTTACTGAGTACTAATTACTGAGTACTCAAGAGGAGAAGAAGTAGCCCTACAAATAAGTCTATGTGTGCTAATTGTGTGTTAATAGGAGGGACAGCTGAACAGGATTTATCGAGCTTCAAGTGGAAGAGAACACGTGTACAGTACAGAGTGAGTAATCCAAAAGGGTTCTGGCTTTCGGCTGCCGACTGACTACGGTACGGTATCTGGCTCCAGACTACTACTAGACTAGTAGTGTACTAGTCTAGTACTTTGCTCGAAAGCCGTGGGAGTCGTGATCTGGCTCGAAAACTTTGGGCCGCGCACCTCCAAAACGCCTCGGAGCTCCAAATTTATGGACCCAACTATTATTAGCTAGCTAGCTAGTATGGGATAGCGGGCAATTGTTTCATGCACAGCGTTCTTCTTGAGGTATCAAATATCAACTATCAACCATACCAACGAAGAATCAAGATGATGATGATTGGCTGCGGCTACGGGAGCAGACGCTTTGCTCCGTTGCTCGTTTTGTTCTTCGTTTTGATGTGTTGTCAGAAACCTAGAGCATATGCAGCTACCGGTACCGGTATGCAACTCAGGGATGTGGGAACGGGTACCAACAGTACTGGTACTGGTAGTAACTTCACTGTGGTAACTACTGGAAGGCAGCGAATACGAAGGAGAGCTCGACCAGAAGGCAAACGAACTGGGACGAGGGGCGAAACTCGTGGTCGTGCCGCGGCCGGAGGGGTCAACATCACCAAGACGCAAAAGCAGGAACGGCGGTTTTTGAGGGAGACAACAAGGGGGCGACGAGCCATCAAGGAATCTAGGGAAAACATCTTTGCAGGCAGAAATCGTATTTCGGCAATCGCGGTCATGGAGAAATCGTCCGCACAGGAACGGCAGCGCGCCACGGATATTGGTACGGATCATTCAGGGGACCACGTCGACGAGGGAAACTCCCTTGTAACAGTACTTACGAGCTCTGATGTCAACAACCTGACCTCGAGCAACACGAGCGTAAGTCGGGGGCACGAAAAAGGATTCTTGCAAGGAGTCCTTGTATCTCTGCCCCTAGCTTCAGCAGCGGCAGTTCTCGGTGCAGGTGGCCTCGCAGCCATACTCTGCATCACCCAAACCATCTGTCCCACCACTGAGACGCAGCAAGTCATCGAAGTTAGAACTTCCGGAGATGTGGTTTTTAGGAACCTACCAAGACCCCCAACCCAGGTAGAAATCGCTGGAGTGGTTGAACAGATTCAAAACTTCTTTGAAATCCTCATTGCCCGGTAAGTGCAGTGCAGCAACGTCAAGTGCGTGTCATGCCCATTACAATGCCGTGATGATGACTGCATGCCCCTCACAGAAAGTGCTTTCCTCGACCCTGCAATTCCAAATTTTAAGTGAACTGGGAGCAGTCGAGAAAACAGCAACCCTCCTAGCCACTGCCCCGACAA